CGTCAGAGACAGCAGGTGACAAAGGGCTAACCAAACAGGCAGAGAGACGGTCAGGCAATTCCAGCCGTGCCACTGGGAAAACAGTTTGGAGGATAACTGGGTTTTCAGTACACAGAGAGTCATTTCAGGCGGGACTGGCTGAAATTAATCTGAAAAACGTTTCTTCTGATGACAGTAATAGAAGAAGGTGAGATAATCTTTCTCTTAAGTAAAGTGTCACATGTTGGCAAACAGTATCATCATTGGGGGATTTATGTGAATAAACAATAATGAATAACCAATAACTCAAAGAAACCAATTGGTTTTACTTCTCTGGCTGGAAAAAAGAATGTTTTCAAACATGGGGAATAGAATCTTCTTTGTGGGCTTCAGCATACTCTCCAACGGAACCTGAGAGGTGATGGCCGACGCCCCCAAATCTGGAGAACGCAGCCTGACACGGCCAGTCTCCGAGCTGAATCCCACAAGACTGTAAGGGTCACCTTGGGATTCCTGCAAAGGCAGCACACAATTCCTGTTATATTTTTTGCTTGGGAAAAGTGTTAATAGCAACAATTCAATAAATCTCAGAAGCCATAATATCTCTGTGCACAGTGCTATACTATATATTCTGGGTGTGTGAGGATGGCTTGGATGTGGCCCGTGCCCTCCTGGATACGTGGCAGTGATGACCATACAGGTAATTAGACAAGTTTGGCTGTGGTAAAAGCTGTATTTTTGGAACTCGGCCTGTGGGATTACAACAGGCAGATTAACTCTAACCAAGAATGTCAGAAGGATCTTGCTTTGCATGGCAAATCTATGCCAGTAGTGCAGTCTCTATTCAGACACAGGAGGATGAGAGGGAGAATGAGCTGGAAAATCAGGTGGCGTTGAGCTGAGGTGGCCATCATGCATCTTGTGCAACACTCAGTCAAGAGGGAATCAAGCTTATAAAGAAGTTGAAGTAGCTGATAAGCAAAGGGGAAAACTGATCAGACACTCAAGAGAGTGGCAGGAGAGCCACGAGAGAGGGAGATGAGACAGTAGCCAGGCCCTTGATTTCTGTTCTTTTTTTTTTTTTTTTTTTTTTGAGACAGAGTCTCACCTTGTTGCCCAGGCTAGAGTGAGTGCTGTGGTGTCAGCCTAGCTCACAGCAACCTCAAACTCCTGGGCTCAAGTTATCCTCCTGCCTCAGCGTCCCGAATAGCTGGGACTACAGGCATGCACCACCATGCCCGGCTAATTTTTTCTATATATATTAGTTGGCCAATTGATTTCTTTCTAAAGTAGAGACGGGGTCTCACTCTTGCTCAGGCTGGTTTCGAACTCCTGACCTCGACCAATCTGCCCACCTCTGCCTCCCAGAGAGCTAGGATTACAGGCGTGAGCCACCGCGCCCGGCCGATTCCTGTTCTTTTTGAAGTTACATTCCCTGCTTTTCTGGGTTTGCCATGTATATCCCTCCTTCAGTAGACCTCTGTTTTCCTGAAATAACATGAAATTCCTTCTAAACAAAAAGCCTTGATCACAGCTGGATTTAATCCTGATAGTACTGCATGGCCATTAAAGGTTCTGGAACAAGAAGATAACTTGAAAAGGTGTACAGTTTAGAAAGATGCAACTCTGATGGCTGTGTAGAGGCTGCACTGAGGAGGCCCTGATAAGGTCCTGTCTTGCCTTTCCTCTCACCTACATCTTTGCTCTTAATCTACTCTACCAGCCCTCACCTTTCCTCTGTTCTCCTCTTGTTCCTCACAAACCTCCCTCTCATCTGTCGCCCTACTTTTTAACCTTCTTTTCCTTTTCCCGTTTTCTCACACCATATCACATATTTCCATAATTTCAACTGTTATCTCCAGGCAGACGATCCCCAAAGCTCTCTGGGGAGCTCCCAGCCTTGGCTCTTCTGGACAACCCAACTCTCTGTCCTTCAGACCCCTCAAAAGCAGCATGTCTCAGAGTTTATCATCTCTTCCCAGAATCTGCTCTTGCTTTTGTATTCAGCAAATGCATCACCATTCCCTTGGGACATCAAGCTGGGACATACTTATCTTTTTCTTTCCGCTTTCCCTTGTCCCCATCTCCACTTCCCCCAGTTAGTTCCTGAGTTCTATCATTCTGTATCTGAAATATTGCTGCATTTGTCCCATATCCTCCTTTCCCTGCCACTCCTTTAGCTCAGATCTGTTGAAAGTTTCCTGGGAGCTCTAGATTTTCCAGTTTTCTGACCACAGAAAACACCTATGTAAGATCAGGAGTTCTTGACTAGCTTGGTCAATAGCAAGACCCATCTCTACAAAAAATAGAAAAATTGGCCAGGAGTGGTGGCTCAAGTCTACAGTCCTAACTACTCAGGAGGATGAGGGAGGAGGATCACTTGAGCCCAGGAGTTTGAGGTTGCAGTGAGCTATGATGATGTCACTGCACTCTAGCCTGGGCAACAGAGTGAGACTCTGTCTTAAAAAATAAACAAACAAACAAAAACAAAATAGAAAACACCTATTTAAAAAACTCAGGTAATAAAGAAAAGTCTATTTGTAGCCTATGATTGGATATCTATAGGTCAAGGCCAATTATATCAAGCAGTATATGTCTAGATTTAGAAAAATCTCCTAAGAATAAATTAGGGCATAAACCTGAATAAGTAGAATAATTATATGACTAGGAGAGAAGATGGAATTGGGCTAAAAGAGAAGAGAAACCAGACACAGAATATTTTTAATAACTCCACAGAAAATGTACATGATTGGTAGTGGGAAATTGGATAGGGTTTTGCAAATTTGGAAATAGGGAGGAGCTTGCAGATAACAGGGTACAGCAGAAGCAGAAATGCCCCCATGTGAAATAGAATGGGTTTAAAGAGAGTCAGGGAACAGAGACAATTTTGGCAACCTCCACTTTCATAAACTTTGACCAATTAAACAAAGCTTTCGCCATGTTGGTCTGGCTGCCTAGAGTGAGGGAAGAGACATGAAGGCATCAATATCAAGTGAATCTGGGCTACACTGGCTGAGTCACATAGCACATGGGGATGGTCAGGTTGTCTCCTTGTACTTGACTTTCCCCATTCGATCTCTCCTACACATGTTAACAGGTTAATTTCAGTGAATCTTAGCTCTGGCCTGTTGCTTCTCAACTAAAAAAATTTCATTGGCTTTCTAAGGATTCAAGAGTAAAATTTCAACACAATCTTCAGCCAAGTTTTCAAGGAACTGTGATTGATGCACTAGAATAGACTTTGGAACAGAAGACTTGGATACAAATAGTGGTTCAAACAACTGTGCATGGGGCCTTGGCCAAGTTACTTTAATTCTCAGAGTCAGTTTCATATCTGTAAAATGTAGACAATACTCAATTTCACACAACTGCTGTAAGAGACAAATAAGATACCACGTCTTGTACACAGTACCTCATTCAATAATTTCCTACTTTCCTTACTACATGACCCAACTTCAACTTACTTTCTAACATTACTTTTGTCAGTATTTCTCCTTTTTTGAGACAGAGTCTCACTGTTGCCCAGGCTAGAGTGCTGTGGCGTCAGCCTAGCTCACAGCAACCTCAAACTCCTGGGCTCAAGCGATCCTCCTGCCTCAGCCTCCCGAGTAGCTGGGACTACAGGCATGTGCCACCATGCCCAGCTAATTTTTTCTATATATATTAGTTGGCCAATTAATTTCTTTCTACTTTATAGTAGAGATGGGGTCTCGCTCTTGCTCAGGCTGATTTTGAACTGCTGACCTCAAGCAATCCACCTGCCTCAGCCTCCCAGAGTGCTAGGATTACAGGTGTGAGCCACCACACCCAGCCAACCAGCTCCATTTTAGAGCAATCAACCTTCTAATGGAAATTTCTTAATGAATCACTGTAAACTACAAAAGTGAGACTGTTTCTTTACCTGATTTCCCATCAGAACCATGTATGTATGACTACTATTAGTCATACATACCTGAATATAAATGATCATGAGTTTAAAAGCCCTTTATTTTTAAAAAGTTCATTTTCCTGATGTTTACATTTAATACTAAAATGCAATTTTATTATTTAAAAGTTACCTACTTGTCACACAAATTACTCTTCTTTTCTTTTGTAGTCAGGAATTCACCTATGCTCTGATCTGTGGAATTCTCCTTGATCTCCTCAAGCCTCTTTTCTGGATTCACACTTTTATTTCCCCACTCTCCTACTCTCTTCCTTTCCCACTCTGTAGTTTAGGCTCTCATTATCCTCCATCTCTAATTTTTAAAAAAGGCGGGGTTGGGGGGGGGATCTCTTAATTGGTTTCTTATCCATCCAACTGTTCAGCATGATTTCTAAAATGCTGATCTTTGGGATGACTCTCAATTGGCCGCAAAATAAAGCCCTGACTCTTTGACTTCCCATGTAAGCCCCGGCAAGTCCAGGCCCCTGTCCTATCTCTGGGCATTCACCATCTCGCCCCTAAAGTCCAAGCAATATCCTACTGCGTGCAGTAAATACACACCATGGTACATGGAGTTGTGTCTGGAGACCGGGGATTTCAGGGCAGTTGACTAGGAGATTTCTAATCAGTCATGACGTCAAGAGCTCACATCAGAGGCAGAGAAGGGAATGCCTCAAGCTTGCTCTCAAAGTACACATTTTCCCAGTCGTAAGCAGCTCCCATTTCGGTGATCTTGTGATCCCCTCTAGAGCAGAACCAGTCAGACGACCTCATTGCAGTCTCTTCTTGCCTCATAGCATTTCACATCAGAACGACTTGTGTCTTTAATCCTTGGTTTTCTGGTTCTGAATTTACCTCGGCCTGGGAAGAGGGCTGGAGAACTCTCTCGCAGTTCAGTATTCACCCGAGACGTGCTCCGCGTGGGAAACTTTCCTTCCCGGCTCGCCCGCCCCGCCTCCCCACGTCGCCCCTGTAGCCCGGCGCGCTTCACAGGCCGTAGCCGCAGGCCGCAGCGCGCCGCCCGGGAGCGGAACCGGCGCAAGGCCCAGCGCGGCGGCCGGCGCGCCGCGGGCACCCGCGTCCAGGCCCGCAAGGGAAGGGCCAATGCCCGTCCTCCGGGGTCGCCGGTGCAGCGCCGCTTCCGGTCACGTGACACGGCGATGGTCACGCGGCCACCGCTCACCTGACCAGGGCCTCACGTGGCCCAGCCCGCTGGGACCGAGGTGACCGGCGGGCCATGGCAGGCTCCAGGCTTTGGTTTTCGCTGCTGCTGGCGGCAGCGTTGGCGGAGCCGACGAGGACCCTATGGCCCTGGCCCCAGTACATCCAGACCTCCGACCGGCGCTACGTCCTCTATCCGAACAACTTCCAATTCCAGTACCACGCCAGTTCGGCCGCGCAGCCCGGCTGCTCCGTCCTCGACGAGGCCTTCCAACGCTACCGTGACCTGCTCTTCGGTTCCGGGTCTTGGCCCCGTCCTAACCTCACAGGTGGGTCAGACCTGCCCCGCCTAGTTCCCACGCCCTGAGAGAACCTGCCCTGGGACAGCTCCCTGAAACCTCCTGATTCGCCCTCCTTTGAGCTTGTGCCTAACCCTCTGTTCATGTGCACGCCACCTTCTGCCTTTTTTTCTCTAGCTGTAGTCTCAGCCACCCCAAGGTTTAGTCTTACTCCTCCTTTCCCTCCTTCACCGGGCTGACTTCTGGGGCCAGATTCATTTGGAACCCTTTCCTCGGGCTATGTCAGATTTTCATTCAGAAATAGCTACTGTAGGACTTACAGTTCTATCAGGATATCAAATTATTGAAAATACTGTGCCAGCAGACATTTAAGGTGACCCTTCTGACAGTGTTCAAGGGACACAGGGTCCTTGTGAGGCTGTGCTAGGGCTGGGTAGAGGAGACCAGAGAAAACACTCAAAATTGGTGAGAAATAATACGAGAACATATGCAAAATAACATAGAAGTGTCTGGCACATAGCATGTTCAGTATGTGTTTAAACTTTAAGAGAAATAGAACATTTCCATAAAGAAATGAGTTTCCGGCAGCCACTTAGAATAAAAGGATAGATGTAAGTAGCCAGGTTTGAAAAGAGAGTAGGAAGAAGCACTTGAGCAAAGGCACTAAGAGTTTATAATTGAGCTCAAAGTTCTGGCCTGGTGTGTGTGATGAGGGTGGGAACTGGGGAGTGATGAGGTTGGTGAAAGTGTCAGGTTGGAATAGGGAGTCAGGAGTGCTTTGGACATTGGTTTCATATAAAATGGAAGGGGCTAGCAATTTTCTTTTAGGCTACTATGTAATGAGTACTGAAAATTGTGTTTGTGGATAATTATTCTACAACAAATTTATGATTCGAGTCAGCAATGCAAAGAAATAAAATTCTACTTCATGGGCTTAAAATTTAGAGTTTTCTTGATAATCTCCTGGAATCTAGCTCTCTGGATATATTTATAGATGTTAGGGCCCTATAGTAACATCATTTTGTATGATATTTCAAGCTTAAACTGCTTTAACAAAAGTTCTCATTTGATATATAGAATTAAATCTATTTAATTAAACAGATGGCACTCAGGGAACAACAGATAATTTAGAGAAAGATAGACTCTTGGCATCAAGGTAGTTCTTAACTGGTGAGATGCATTAGGCTGAAGAGGATAAAAGGTCTGATATTAAGCGTGGTAGATCACATATTTCTCTGAATCCTTCATGACAAGTAATTGAGTGCCTTACACAAGATTGGCACTCAGAATATTTTATTTTGGTTAGAGAACAATTCGAGCTTGGCTTATGCAAAAAGAGATCCTTCATCTAATTGATGTTTGTCAATCGCAGTGCTGGGTATTCCAGAGGTTACAAAAAAAGTCTAAGATGTAGACCCAAGCTCTACAATTCAGCTGGTAAAATATGAAGCAGAAGTACACAATCTATTATGAAATGCTCAAAAGATAAGTAGGGTATTTACTACTATTGTATAAATGAGGGTAATTTCTTTTTTTATATTCATATTCACATTTATTATGTATTTATGACTGGGAAGCAAGCTTAAACATTTTTAGGCAGCAGAGGATAATTTCTATACTTCCAAATTAAGCCTTCACCCCCATTGCTATAGTTTAATCAAGTAAATAGGAATGGGGAGATTATCTGACAATGGGGTGCTGCAAATTTCCTAATGAAAAATGTTTAGAACCAGATTAGAAACTCAATAAGATGCTTATTTCAATTTATTACTACCTTCCTGTGAATGAATTTGCTTTATTGGTTGAGAGTTCTTGTCCAAATAATGAAGACCAAAGACTTACAAATATTTTCTCTCAGCCCCCGAGAGTCTGGGACTTACAGGCATGTGGCCACCAATGCCAGCT